TATGTGCCCAGTCGCTGCACAATGCAAGACTATGGTAGCTGATTGTAGCTTGGCTCATTACAACGCGTTTTTAGAATACTTCTCATCATCTAATGTGATATTTTGTCGTTTCCATCTCGTGAAGGATATGAAGAAGAAATGTAACCAGCTATATGGTATGCCAACGTTCGAAAAGCAGCGCATCTTTCAATGGATGGAACATGGTGTACTGTAATAGTGAGATATCGTTTCGTAGATTCCTATCCGCCGTAGAAAGTCTTAGCACAGGAGCAGGCGTTTATTTATGCCGAAATTGGTTACCATTCCGGGAACAGTGGGCAGGGTATGCCGTGAGGACTAGGATGACTTGAAGAAACCTAACTACCAACCGAGTGGGGACGGAAAAATAGCATTCAAATCAAACTCCACTGTAGTAATAGCGGCCTCACGAAACATCATGGGTAAGCCATAAAAGTTGGCTCAGACAGACGATGTCCTTCAAGAGCTGGGAGTCTCTTTGAATAGTTTAGGTACAGTGAATTACAATTTTCAATGCAATCAACTTCGACGTGTAGCAGCTACGATAGGGAAGTATCCGGACATCCAGATATTATTTGATAAACAGCGCTTTGCAACACAGACCACAGAGATTAAGCGTACCTGTCTTCCGGCTACGAGCGTCAAGGTGAGAACAAACAATCCATCCTTCAACAAGCGGTTCGATTGAAAAGCGGAAATCAGTTTTAGTGAGTTGATCAGTCGACAGTGAGGATGGCAAAATAGTCCTAGGTGACCCACTGGAGCATACTGTGTTCCGAAGACTGACAACAACGACCTCAGCGAAGTACAAACTGGACGCTAAACGCAGAAGGTAAACCAATCGGACATCACCGATGAAGGCCAACTGTTGCAGTGTCTGCAAATCTGCGTGGAATACGGTCGATTTGGACGATGAGCAACAATGGATCCAGTGCCAGAAATGCGGGCGCCAAACACAGCTTTAGCGCTGCTGACAGTGGAGAGGAAGCATACGTTTGTGTGCATTACCTCAGTCGATGAACAAGGACGTCAAAGGCCCGAAGTGACTAAAAACGGCCCTTTTAGGGCCACGCAAGTTTGATTTATTATTATTTGGGTTATTCATTCTATTCAGGGTCCATTATATCGGTATAGATTCCAATTGAGATCCAACGTTGTAGGGCAATACCTACTTTGTTTCCGAGCCAGTTTACAAGTGGAATGAACACCTGAATGGGAGAAAATTGGCCGACAGGAAGTTACTTTTATTTCCTTTTGCTCGATGATCTTAGGCTGAAAGTTTCAGAATAGTATTTAGAATAGCGTTTGACAATTATATGGAACGTGTAATTCCTAAAGATTTGCTATTGGTAGGTTTTCCTTCGTAGAACTCGTTCATTTATAATAACGAATAACTATTTTCTTTTCTTATGTCAACTAAATATTCCTTTAATTTTTTTGGTTGTTTTTTGCTGTATGTTAGTCGGCGTTATGTTCAGGGTCTGCAGTAAGCAAAATAATTTTTGAGCAACAGTGGTCTCCATTTGGGAATATTTCATGGCTTGGAGAATGGGGATCGATCCTTCTGCTTAACCAGAACGATAGGGGATGCCCATGGTGAGGTGGATGGCCGGATTACAAGAGCTGCAAGCATATCTCTAACCATTTCTTCTAATCGGGATTCATAATGGACGGGAATCCCACGCGGTTGTTGCCTAATGGGTTTAACACCAGCGGTATCGATCTCGTGCTTGACCAAATGAGTCCTCTCGGGTGAACTGTCGTTCTGAGCGAAAATGTCCTGAAATGACCGTATCAATTTTATTACCTTGGCTTTGGGCCCGTTTGGCGTATCATTATTCTCTTTAATCTGTGCTTTCACAGCTTCTTCGAGGTTGTGAACTGTACAAGAGTTAGTGATGGCACCTGCAGCACTGGTTTCACTGACTGTAGTCTGTAGTCTGACATGATAGGTTTTGTCACCCGCTCTGAGCCACATTAATCCTCTCTGGGTATCGATAAGGCTTCATTTTGGTGGAGAAAGTCCGCTCCAAGTATAGCATCCCATTGGAGCGATTCACATACCATGAACGCCTGTTTCGTCAAGAACCTCCCAAACCGCACACCTAGACTAACGGTTCCCTTAACTTCCGTGGCCTGTCCGTTAGCTGTAATTACGCTCCTCTTTGTGCTCCTTGGTTCAGGTGTTCTGCCTAATAATCTTAACATCCCNGGTAGATACCAATGAACATGAAGCCCCAGTATCAATCAAAAGTTTTATAGTAATTCCTTGAATTAGCCCAATAGCCGTAAATGGACAACTATGTGAACTCAGTGATACTGAGGCAATGCAATCATCATAGGGTTTAGACCTACCTGGTCTCTCGATGCCGCGGTGGGGGTGGTAGTATCCTTGTGGTCCCCGATTGTCATCACGACATCCGCATGGGGGATATGTACAGTAGACAGACGTATTGGCCACTGGCACTGCTTTATTCGTGGTCGCTTCTGGAGGTGCCGCGGATGCGTTGCATGACGCCATCATGCTGCAAATTCCGTCGACAAATGCTCTACCGCCTCGAGCCGTCTGGCCTTTGTCACGGCTGTATCCGGGTCGAACGGGGCCTTCGTCATAAATTTCTTCTTCAACGGCACGTTGTTTACTCCACTGCAGAACTGTTGGCAGACAGCCAGCTCGATCTCTTCCACGCCGGACCCCGGGAATACTTTCGAAGCAATCGATTTCAGGGCCCAGACGTATGCCTCCACAGTCTCACCAAGTTGCTGACGTTTTTGGAGTAGCTGTTCCCGCAATATGGCTATATTGTCGGCACGTGCAAAGAGCTTGCTTCGTATTGCGAGTATTTGGGGTGCAGTTGCGAAGGCTGAGACACGAGCGGAACGGAATATATGTGATGCTTCCTCTCCTAAGAAGCTCAAGATCATAGGACCCATTGTGGTTTGAGATGTGCCGGCAACGTAGAGCCCAACGCGGAATTTCCAATCTTCAAAATCATCGCCCGGTCTGAAGAGTGGTGGTTGATGAAGCATCGGCTTCGGGTCGTTGCCCTTCGCGAACACCGCCGGCTTCACGATTGGTGGGCTGAGGTCATCTGTAGATTTTTCCATATCCTGCCCGCGACGCCAAATGTAGCAGGTTCTTTTGCGTGGTACCGGTGACCTCGAAAGCTCGCTGTACCGAAACACAGGGAGTCAATATGGACCCGCTCAACGCACGCACTCGGATACGGAATGGTGGCGAAAAGACAGAGACACCAGAAAACACGTATATTGTCACGCAGAAAGCGAAGCAAATAATAATAATAATAACGGTATATTTCGCGAAGCCCGCGAAGCATGCTAGTGCGCATGATCAAAGTGTACAACAATATGAAACGTGAACAGTGGAGAGCAAAGGTAATAGTACAGAGTGCAGGAACGTGATTTTCAAACAAGTACATAGAATATCGTAAATGGCCCTTGCGTTGAAAACAAAACACAAATTGGACAGGGTCATAAAGGTGGATTATTGGGGTGATCTGTTATGGTGAACGTGTCTTATGAAAAGTAATTGCAAAACGGACAATTGGGAGTTGAAATATCCGCTTGGAAGAAAATACGCGGAAGCGAGTTCAAAGAACAGAAACAGAATAGTGACGAAGAAAGATTCATAATTTAAGAAGCAGAGCTGCAGTGGAGCTGAAGGAGAGTACAGTAATTGAAAAAGCGANGACAACAGATGACTTGTGAATAAACTGTTTCATATGTCAATACAGTTGGGAGGACTTCTGTGATCAATAAACAATGGGCTTCGGGGCTTCACCGTTAACGGTATGATTGGTTTTTATTTATATTATTTAGGCGTTGGTCGCTTTGATGTGGGACTGACTGGACGCTGGACACCCACCCCTAAAACACCTTGTAGGTGAGGCAGAGGGTGTGATCCTCAACCTGGTCCAGAATGCGGACGCATGTATTCTGATCGGTGGATACAACCGCGCCCAACAACCATTGCCGGAGCCAAATTGTCCATTGTGGGTGTAGACCCCAAACCTTCGGTAGGCCCAAACCAACCGAATCTGCAATAGAAAGGGTGAAACTCGGCAGTCTGGGGTAGTGCCTAGCTGAGAAGGGAAGAGGGGAATAGCGTGTTGCGAAACAAAATGCGGAGAACATAAGTATCCGAAAGCATGTATATTGATATTCATATATAAAAAGGAAAGTGCGCAAATAAAAAGAACCCCGGTCAAAACGAGGGAGCAAATCAGCGGATTCGACACAAAACGAAGGAATTATAATATCAAGAATAAGCGTTCACATGGCTAATGGTGAATAAGGGAACAGGTTAGGTCATGGATAGGTGACATTACTTTTGTCAAGTATTCACCGATTGGGGTTAGCGTTGCAATAGGCAAGCTTCGAGGCTCGTCCAGTATACTGATTATAACTTGGTTTACGCGTGACCGCGGCTGGCTAGTTAGCATTCGCTACCGAAAGGAAACGGGTCAGATGTATGCTTATGCAAAGACTGAGTGTGAGGTCTAGAAATTATGGGTGGCAAGCCTTGTGCTGTTTTCCACCTGAATAGATTGCGTTCCACGGATCAACTCGACTGAATAGAAATGGGTTGAGACGTGATCATTAGAGTTTGACGATGAGGAGGAAGGTCTTGTGTTGAATAAGTGACAACACTTATCACAAGATTCGCTGAATGGGATCTGTTTCACCACGAGCTTTGGGATTCTCGAAGTGTACTGTGTATTGGACCAGATGATATAAATGTGAACACAGTTCAGAGATTAATGCCCTCTTCGTATGCTCGGTATACAGGGGTGTTACATTGGTTCAACCGTAACATGAAGCTAACGGTAAGGTGTGCCTTTGGTGTTTTGGCAAATTGTACAATAGACGGGCATTTTCGGAATTCAATGGGGAGTTTATTCCACAATTTGGAATACTCCATTATAAAGAAATTTGACCTTACTGCTGTTCTGATGTGCGTGATCGTAAATGTAATGTTCCTATGACGTAGAGAGTAAGGTAAGGATAGGGAATACTTATGGATGTTATTGGAAGGGGATACTCGGCAATGAAGGAGATT